ACTGACACAGGCAGTAAACTGGCACAGCTGGGAAGTCTGGAATTGAGAGAAGCTTTCTGAAATACCTCTTGCTCTTGTGCAAACTGGAATGACAGCAATAATTTGTCTGCTCCTGTGTTGGCATGCTATGATATCACCCAAAACAGAGAACAGCAATGGGAAGTCTCCTGAGATATTTCCCCTTCTGGAGAGGCTATGAGCTGCTTTGCAATTCATGCTGAACTACTGGAACACAAAGAAGTGCCAGCTAGAGATATCCTCCTGTGCGAGTCACACCCAGCCATGGCTTTATTCCTGTTATTTTAATTAAGATTTTCAACTGAAAATTGATTCTCTTAAAATACTGGAGACCATTAGAGTGGTCCAGAGAACTCTACCTGGTGACTTACAGCATTCTCAAGCTGCCCCTTACTATCCTTTCAAGAGAAGACAGTAAGGTGCATTCAGTTAACTGTATGGGGTGGGGACATGGCACTTTTTTCTCCAGTCTAGACCCTCCAAAATCTTGCTTTAGCACTTGCACTTCACTGGACAAAATGGGAATTGCTGGAGGTGGAATTGTCTCCTCACCAAGGCCGTGACAGTGCTTCACTGCCAAGTGCCACTGTCATTAGTGGACATGACTGGTGGAGCAGCATCGGTGTTGCACTTGCATGGATTCTTGCCTGACATGGCTGTGAAGCATCTGTCACCAGCAGCTTTCCCTGTGCAAACCTCACTAGGCATCAAGAATAAAGCTAGTATAGCCATGACCTGTAGATTTCTTTTTTTTTTTTTTTTTTCTTTTTTAGGTTTTGAATCATTCTTACCAAAAGAAACTCACATAGGGTCAGTGGGATAGCTCCCTGAGCAGAGAATGGGACATAAAATCAGCTGGACTGTACCCCATGCTGACAAAAATGTATTTGTCCTCCACAAAGCAGGCATGAATCTTCATTTATGTGTGACTCCTCCATTAAGTAGCCCATTGCCCAGTACTTATTGCAAAGTAGATGCACATGTGGGTGCACAGCAGAGATTTTCCTTAGCCTTTTCCCCCTCATCTGTTCTGCGTCAAGTGAACTCCACTGACTTCAGACCAATCTGTCAAAGACTTATAGTCTATCTTTGAAGACCATTAACAGCTAAACTTACTGAATCTATGTTGGTATTTTTGATAGCTCTTTTCCTCCCTGTCCGCACAAGAAGAGAGAATTTGGGGTAAACTAACAGCCTGTGCTGGACCTCTCTAGAGAAGGGCTTCACTGGTAGCCTGGGTAATAAAATAATGTATCATATAGGAAACACTATGAGTAGGCATTTTTTCATCCAACAGCAAAATTAGATTCAGATGACAAATATTTTTTTTTCCTCCAAATGTGTATTTTCAATGAAAACTTGGAATTTTAAAATTCTGAACTTGTTCCTATTTTACTGGTTTTCTTCCCCGTGTTTTCTGGCGTTGTGGTTTTATTCAGAAAGCTGTATTCCTTTTGTGAGTGTGTGCACACATGTATTTGTGAGTAACTGATGTGGTCTAACTGGGATTGTTCATTACTGTCAACCTCCTTTGCAATCCTATAATTTTGACATCTATATGTTTTTCCTCAATTTTACATTGGGTTGACCCCAAATTACTGTGAAGCAAGGCTAACTCTGAGACTAAATAAAATGATGCCTCTGGAAATTGAGAATGTATTAGTTATGTCATTGGATGGATTCCCTGACAGGAGCTTAAACTGAGCACTTAAGAACTGTCTTCAGCATCTTATTGTCTCTGACGAGATCATGATTCAGACTACTCAAGCAGTATCTCAAGTAACCCTCGGGGAGTAGAACTGGATCCAAGGACAGCATTTTGATGCATAGGTTAGCAATGAATTCAGGTTTAATTACCTTGTCTCTGCCAGCTTAAAGGAAGTTGTCAAATAAGATCACAGAGGGTACAGACAGCCATGCCCAGGTATGCAACTGGAGCCACAAACAGCTGTGACCACACAAAAATAAATGCTTCAGTCAGACATAGCCAAGCCAGGGATCCGCCAAAAGATTCACCCAGTCAACCTCTCCTGCCCCTCAGAAAAAAGAATCCTACGCCATGCAAGCATGTACCCAGCAGGGAGAGGTCTGCTTGACCCATCACAGAGCCACTTGCCTTGACCACACGGTATTAACCAGCTACACCACCTCATGTTTTGTGGGTTTTGTTTGTTTGTTTGTTGTATACATCCTTGTCTCATACAACCCTGAGAACTGGTTGTTTTCAGGTTCTCCTTCCAGACCACATTTGGCTAGTGTTTCAGCTTCTTGGATGTTTTTATTTTGTTTTGTTTTGTTTTTAAGCTGTATTTTTCAGGTCACAGTTTAAACTTTTTTTTTTTTGGAGGATTGCAACTCCAAAAGAATGAACCACCCAGGCCTCGATAAAGAGTTTACAAAGTATATCAGTACTGCCAAGTTACGGCTGCATGTGCTTCAAAAATCCCTGCTACTTGCAAGAAATCTATGCAGTTCACGTATATATTAGCCAAATGTGGAGAAACAGAATTCAGTGCCATTCAGAGCAAATAATATAATGGACTGAGAAATACTGCAGTGCAAAATTCAACCCATGGCACAAAATACTTGTGAGAAACCACTCCATATAGCCCCATGCTTCCATATGTGCTAGATGAGAATACTTGAAGAGCCTATTTCCCCAGTCATGATGGTCAAGGTCTAAATGTAAGTTTTCCCAGCATTTTCTATTGTTAGAACCAGTTTCCAATTAATAATGACTTTGAAAACTTGAATCCATTGGGCCAAACCTCTCCATGTTAAATGCATTCCTCAGGGTTGATTTTCTTCTTTTATTCTCATTCTCAGTCTCATTCTTAATTTTCTTATTCATACTTATTATTGTTATTATTTCCCCTGAAAGATGTTTAATCATTTACCAAGTAAAAAATAGCAAGGAAAGGGTTTGCCTGTATTTTAATAACTTCAGTTTTTTATTTTGAAGCAGGGGTTTGAAGACCTGCAGTTTGAAGAGCACGTGGGGTAGGGCACTATAGGGGCTCTATAGGGGCACTATAGGGCATTTCTTTGCTACTACTTCTTAGTGTTCCACTGAACTGTAAAATGGGCCTGAAATTCCAGGAGCAGAGCTATGGAAACATTCTGCTCGCATACCTACAGCTGAAGGCAGTGAGATTGTGCATACAAGTGCTATAAAGTGCTACAAGCAGAAGTATTTTGTTCATGAACTGCAATATTTGACAGAATACAGAAAGAAGTTGGTGAAGATAACTTATTTGATCAAAGAGTCAGGAGTACATGAGAGTATTCAGAGTAAAAATGTCTAATTTAGCATTAGTAAATTGTCTATACTGACCACTTTGGCTTTAATCTGAGCAGAGCTACCTGGTTGTAATAAAAATACCACACCTTCCCTTAAAAATGGTGTGAAAGAAAATGAAATGAAAAATACCATGACAGAATTAATATGCTCTGATCATCTTAGAAAAGGTGATGAGGAAACTGATATTTCTGTATTCAGTGCAGACCATGGACAATATGCAGTAAAGCATGCCTGGCACCATGAATACACGGAGAGCATAATGACATACTGAGCAGGTACAGAATCAGAACCAGAATCAGAATCAGAAATAGCATCTATATTGTGCTCACGATGAGTCCAGAGTTCTGTGCAATCGCATGAAATCTCAATTGGAATATGTACATGTAAATGAGCCCAACTCAGAGTTACCTCAGTTCTGTCATTCTTGCTAGGAACTGGGAACATGACTTTTTTCAATGCAGCAATTTTGGGGTGAAAAAAATGACATGGTCAAGACTCTGTGCACCTTTGCTGGGTTTTGCAATGGAGACTGAAAGCATCTGATGATGGCTGCTTTTAAAAGCTGAGGTGATACGCCCTGACCACAAGGAGCACCTTGCTGTCAACAAGGAGCACATCCAGATGGCTTTAAGGAAACTCCAGAGTCAGATTTTGTTTTCAGGAACCAGCTACATGTGAGTTCCCATGCTGAATATTGACAGTTCATCCAAATTCCCAGCACTGCTGAAGGTTGCTGATATCTCTCCTTTGCATTTAAACATGCAATAAAAGTTTTTAGCCATTACCTGCTTTCATTGCCCCTTCTTATGCTCAGCCAGTCCAACAAAGGACTTTGCCAGCCTCCTGCAGTAACCTGCCTTTTCCACACTGGGTGTTGGGGGAGGGGGAATGAAGAGCTCAAATAGAATTGCTTTAGGTTCCGGGGATGACTGTTCTGTTGCAAAATAAAAGTGTTGTGAAAGTTTCCCCATCTTTGAGGGATCAAAAGGAAGTGTGAAAATTATCTGGTTCTTTGTGTGAGATCAAGGAAGTAAGACCACCAGGGAAGTCTTCAGATGACGACAGGACTTCCCATACCCTCATGATTCTGGCTTCTCTAGGACTTTTTTAGTCAGTAATTACATTTGCCAGGACTAAGGTTTTAGTTTGGCAATTCTTTTCATTTTGAGGGAAGTTAGTAGTAATTACAAGTTTCCAGGCTGGCCGTTTCATAAAAGAACAGAAAAATCTCAATTACAAGAGAAGGTCACTAAGGCTACTGCTCATTCTCTTCTTCTCACTTTTGCTTAAATTGTCAGTGAAGATGGCAGCTGGCATCGAATGGGGTGCCTGATTGTATAGCCCCATTTCAGCATCTTCTCCAGGTGGAAGTAGAAGGGAATGCAGGTGACCAGACTGCCTTACCCTGATGCAGCAGTGCCCTCCAAGCCTCTTGGCTTTTAAACTATCCTGGCTGTCATCTTATTGCTCATTTTGAATTATGATATTAATAGAAATAATGTTAATTTAGCCATTAAATTCAATTAAAGTGAAATGCTGACAGCTCCTGAGTCACTAAAAAGCACCTAGTAAAATTTTCAATAGTGCTCTCAAAATGCAGCCAGATGTTCTTTGCACTTTGAGTTACCTAATGTCTAAGAAAAGTTAGTGGTTTGACCCAACTGTATTTATTGCCTTTAAGCCTAGGTATTTGACGTTTCTGAAGATGAGATAAAGGAGAAGAACCTCCCACACTACCTGTGAAGCCATGACCAACTCCGGGGACACAATGATTTCTTTAACAGTGCTGTGAGTCTCTTTGTGTGTACGGTAAGTTGTGTTGTGCCTGCAATCCAAAATAAAGGCCAGCACATGCCACTAGTGTGCTTCACACAGAGTGCACCAATGAGTACATACATGGACTTTCACAACTACATCTTCAAAAGCTGTTTTAGGTGAGCTGAAGTCCTGCTGTGCTCTGCTGTTGGGCTTGTGTGGCTCAGACACCAAAGCATGGTGTCTGATGGGTATGGGCTATGTGTAAGGGTTTTCTTTTGTTCTTTCGTATTTTCATACAGGATGCATGGGAGCAGGTTGTCTTGCCTTGAGACACTGCTTGTAGGAAGGGCAGAAAGCCTTTGGATGCCTGTCTCACCCCAAGGATATAATTCTGTAGCTGCCTATCCTCCTCTGCAGCATCGCCCAGCCATGAGGTCCTGCTGTTGCCTGCGGTCCAAATTGCACATGACTACTGATTTTTTTTCACAGGTTTCACTAAACACATGGCTACAGTCAGGTAATGCAGGTTCTGCTGAAAGCCTAATGCAGAGTGTTACAACTCCTGTACAACTCAGGATGGATTTTCATCTGTACAGCTTTGCAGGTAGTCACGTAGCTAAGTGACACTGAGCTGAGAAATCTATAAAGTGGAACGTCTTTGTTAGCCATCTCGTGGAATTGTTAATGTCATCTTTAGCTCTCATTCATGCCAATTAGCCAAAGCCCCATGGAGGAGGACTAGATACATAATTCCAGCTGGAACTGGTGCGTCATGTGTGGTTGCTGCCACAGGTCCTCAGCTCAGACTCATCACTCATCCGGCTAGTCACAGGGGTACTCTGGCAGTCCCATCCGGATGATGCTTATTTAGTCCCTTTGGTCTGCTGAAGCTGGTAATAAATCAGCTCCATAATGAGGTGAAATTGCCATTGGAACACACTATAACTACATTGTCCAAAAGGCTTTATTAGGCAAAATAGCTGCTTGATATCTGCCTAGTTTGTTGGTAGCCTTTCTAACTGGTTTGTCTTATGGCTGATCTTGAATAGTTTATATATACAGAAGGTATTTTCCAAGACATTTATAGGAGTATTGGGCTAACAGTCCATAGCAGCACTCAGGACTGGTCGTCTTTGTTCTCCTGGGACAAGGGATACTTCATAAGAGTAACACTCTTATGCCATTCACACTCACATGCCATTTTTTCTTGAAAGCAATTCTCAAAGGTGGTTACAACATCAATACTACACATTTCCTTTCCCCTCCACTAAAATAGGGCAGCCCCGATAATTTTCCTTATATCAAACTGGATTAAAGGCTAGCAATTCCAGTGCTGTCTAGGGGATTTAAACACCCTGATTGCCAGTGATACCACTAGAATCCAAATAGCAGAAATCTTTCTAAATGCTTCCACACTGCTTTCGCCTACAGCAGCCACCAGCAAACCTTTATTTTCCTTCTTTTCAGCCCAAATGTTTTTTTTTCCTAATGTAATGTACTTCCTGATTACATTTGCCTGTATCATTCTATATGCTATTTAAAAATGACATTTATTGTTAAATAAGCCCTACTCATTTATACAGTCATCACTCAACCATACTAATGAGAGGCTAACTACAATTTGTAAGCTGCCGCTTTTCTTTCCCTTCTGTAATTATATCAGTGATACTCAATCTTTTCTGCCCTGTGAGCCACAAGGCCTATTCTGTGGTCACTAAAGAGCTGGGTGCCTTCTCCACAAAATATTACTTCTGAACAGGGGTCAAACAGCTGGAGGACATAAGGCCTCAGCCCTATTGACATTTCCTTTGCCCTGAAATGGTGCTGATTATCTCTCCAAGTGTTCTGGAGACTGTGTTTTGCTTAGAAGCTTTTCTGAGTGCCACTTGAGCTCCTGATATCTTCTGCAAAGATTTTTAGGATGAAGAGGGGTCCAGATTCCCATCAGCACCACTAAACACAAGTTTTCTACCACCCTCGCTGTGCAAGACACATGGTATGTTCTCACTTTTGCTTGGCCTTCTCCTGGTCTTCATCTGCCCAACACTGTCACTGAGAACATGGCTGTCTCACTTGGGAGCAAATAAAGGGTTTATAGACTTTTTTTTGATTGCAATTTTCCCCTGCTGCACAGGAGAGGGTATGGCTCTGCTGGTAGCAGAAGTCCTGCTGATAGCAGCTATTGTGATCTGCCTGCCCAGCTCTTGCCCCAGCTCTGTGCTGGAAACCACACAAAACAGAAGTTTTTCAGCACTGTGCCCAGGCTCTTGGGCACAGGTGCACTTACTAAGTTGAAGACACTTGGCAAATGGCTTACAGGTGTAGCCTTCTCCACTAAATCCACGTCTGATCCTGGTGTTACCAGGGCAGCCAGATGCCCAGGCCATGCCTTTCTACAGGGCATGAAGGGGATGACACTTTAGCAGCTTTAGCATCTGAACCAAATGCCTGAGGCACCCTCAGAGTCCTACAGTTGGGAGGAAAATTGCTCCAAGGCTAAGCCTTGCCCACAGCAGCTCCAGTGCCAGGTCCTGCCTCTCCCTTTACGTGGCAAAGGACCTTGTCTATCCACCAGAGAAAATTCCTTGAGGAAATCCAGGCTTTCCCAGGATCCTTTGAAGCCTGGGGAAAGCATGCTGAGAAAGGAGACTTCCTCACTATTTACCCCTGTCATGACGCCAAAGTCAAATTTTTGATCCTAGCCTTTGGTGTGGATGCAATTAACACGTGGCCTGCTCACTGTGGGATGGTTAATAGAAGAGTGAGGAGAGACAGGAGCAAATGCTGGCCCTTTTTAGCACTCTGTTACTGCTCCTTCTGCTATCTGAAATGCTGCAGTATATCATTATCTGTTGATTGCAGTCTTTTGCCCAGTTTTTGCTCTTGCCCAGTCAGCACTCATCTCCAAGACAATCTGAATTAATTGTGTGAAGGACTTCACAACACTGAAATATTCAGCAACATTTAACCGAAATCAAGACAGAGCAGGACTGGTTCTGATCACAGTTTGAGGTGGGAAGACATCTCAAGGATTGATGGGTTTTATGGCCGCTCTTTACCCCAAGAGAGGGAAAATGCTGCATTTACACCTTGTTGTGCCACAGATCTACTATTTTATCAGCAGAGGCATGTATCTGGTGGATGGAATTGCTCTCTGAAGCTCTTCTTTCTTTGTCCTCTAAGGATTTTCTTTACCTTCTTTACGAACCTCAGATTTCCACCATTTTTTTCTGTAAATTCTGGTTAATAACCCCTGTCGTTGATACTTCTGCTTGTAATAATGAAGCGAGTGCTGAGGATTAAATCAGACTTACCAGACAACCACTGCCAGGACAACCTGTTTGTCCCTCTCTCAAACACTGGTACTACAAGTGACTGCTTCCTGTACCTTGCTGGTCTCCATGGCTTTTCAATGGAGTTGGCGGAGGTGTGGAATACTTATTAGCTAACTCTGTTAACACATTAAGTGGATGTTATCCAGATCCACTGACTAAATGCAAGTATGACTATTAATTGTCTCTTTCCCCGAAAGAAGAAGAAACAGAATTTTATCAAACCAAATACCACTTTCTCAGCTATGTCTTGCCACCTGCCCAACCAGAAGAGACAGCATCCTTATCTTTGTGACAATAGTAGTAGTAGTAATAAGAACAACGGTAACAATAATTACAAAAATATCTCTTTTTGAATGCAGTGTTAGGGCGCGTAAGTTAAAAAAAAAAAAAAAAGGATGCTGCTTTCTGGAACTCTTGATTTGGCAAGCTGAACAACCAAATCAAAGGAAAAGATGTTGCACATGGATGGTACTGGCAGCTTGATATCCCCATTGCTGTTCACCTCTTCTCCATAATATTTTGTGCTGTTTGCCTTCATCTTGTATCAGTGCATGAAAGTCAAGCAGGTCTCCAGTCCCAGCCCTACCACTGAGCTATACAGCTGTGGATACATGTCCTTACTTCTCCGTGTCTGCTCCTCTACCTGTGAAGGGGGCAATCAAACTAGCTTTTGCACAGCTATATGGAATTTTCAGACACTGAAGCAGAGGAAGGCTGTATTTCAGCACTGCAGACAGATTGTTAGTAGTATCATCTTTCTTTCTCCTCTTTCCTTCCTCCTACCTCTCAGTTACACAGCATCCCACTGTTCTCAAAGTTCATATGCTTGAGGGGAAAAAAAAAAATCTGTTTTTTCCACTGAGTGTCAGCATAGATCAGAGGCTACAGTAACATCTTTAGCATGGGCAGATTATAAATGAACTTTGAAGGTTCAAGTAATTCATATTCATCATTTGAAAATGTACCAGACTAAATCACAAGTTTGAATGAAAAGGTCAGAGAGAAAATTCAATCTATTAAAACAGAGCAAACTATTAGCAATAGTCAGGTTTGAGTGTTTGTTTTTAATTAAAAATCATTTTACTTGACTATCATATTTTTGTCGCACAGCAGGTATTTTGTTCTTTTAAGGAGTAACATAAAACCTTTATAAAGATTCTCCTGCCTAGAACCTCCCTTTCTGCCCATGCACAGTGCAGTGTAGCCTGTTTGCATTTGATTTAAAATCCTTACAATGAGCCACTTTTTGAGGATTGCACTGGTTTTATTCATGTGCTCCCAGACACAAGTGTGGATAGAGCTTTCTCTTCTGCTCCCTCTCCAGTTATTCTGGCAAGCAGGTTAAACTGAAGCAATGGTGCAGGGAGATATTTATGCAGGCATTCATAAATTGTTGTAGTTCTGTTTCCACCGCGGGTGCTATTGAAGCCCTTTGGGTTGGCGTATAATGAAATGCAGACTCCCTGTACTCCCTGTGTGAGGACGTGAAAAAAAATCAGATTCCCTTTTTACTTTCCTAGATAATAAGTCCTTTGTTTTAACTAATCTTTCACTTTCAGGGGTGACTGGATGGTTTAGCTGAATGAATCCTATTATTTAAAGCCTTTCCTTCCTGCTTCTCAAAGTGTGTTCTGACTCATGTACCTATTTTCATGTAGAGATTATTTAGATAAGGTGTTTTTTCTCTCCCTTTAAAAATAGCAGCAAGCAGGATTTTGGACTAAGCCTTATGTGTATATATGGACAGTCACTGGCATCGAGCTTAGCAAAAGGCATGGGTGCTAAAATGCCCTTGCGAACACTTGGAGATGATGTTTGACTATTGCATAAGAAGATGCAATGAAAATACGGATGCTGACTGATACTTTCAGGCCTCCTTTAAGTATTAAACGATGAATACTAAACCCAGAAGTACAGCCCAAACTCAGAAGAGCATTCCCAAGCTTGTGCTTCTTCTTGAGCTTGTGCTCACTGGGTTCAATGGGAAATTCCTGAAACTGAGCGATCACTGGTGACTGTCCCTGCTGGAGTGGGACTCAGCGCGGCCATGGGGCCATGGGATGCAGGAACACAATGCATTGGCCAGAGTGGAAGAGAAAGTGAAACTCCTCCTCCTTCAGCTCCCAGGACATAGGTGCTGGGATCTGGCTCACTGGATCACAGCAAGGGAGGCGGCTGCAGTCCTGTGAGCTGAAAGCTAAGCCAGGACCAGAGCGTGCTTTTTCTTTAATATAAATACCACTAACGTATGTGCATAGGATACATTTTCATTGAGTTCCCCATGTACTATACACCCACATACTCCATGTGAAGCCATTACCTCTGCCTCATTCTCCCAGTCCAGCCTACGCTCCTATTTAACTTAGCGCTCCCTGGCCAAGACACTTTTTAAATTCCTTATTCTCCCAGCACGCTAATGATCTCCTGGAGCAGGATCCACCACCCCCCTGACATATCTTTCTACAAGCCAGAATGTCTGAGATTCAGCTGCAAAAATGTCCACATGAACCTGGAGTCAACTTCCAAAAAGATCTTTTGAAAAAGAAGCCAGATACAGAGAATGGGGAGGGAGAAGGAACAGCAGCCAGCAAAATGCCTTTGCCTGATTCAGGGGATTTATCTGCATTTCTAGTTAATAAAAGACATTAATTGATTCACGTTTTTTATGGCTGCACACAGAGCTATTTCTGGCTGGAAGGAGACACTGTTAAATGGAATGAGTCAGACCAGACCTGTTATGTCACCCTGGGACCCTGGAAGATTTGTTAATAGCTCTGAAGAAATCAAGTTGCTTCACGGGGCTATTTTCTTCTCAAACATCAAAAGGAGAGGGAAAATATAGCAATTCTGAAGGATGAAAATATTTTTTTTTTACATGGTCCTTTGCATTTGACGAATAGCAACAGGATAATCAAAGAGCTTTGCTCTCCACAAGGCACTTGCATAGAAATCTCAGCAGGATTTATCAGCCCAGCCAAACCTAATCTCCAGAGACATGGCTCTTAGCTAAGGAAAGTCCAGGCAGGTCGCAGCTCCTCAATTCACTTCCGAGGATTTCTTCCAGATTAACTTCACAAATCAAAAGATTGTTCTGAGAGAGTTTTACAGGAAGCAAAGTCTGTATTTTTCCTTTTAAAACTATGTA